GAGTTTCCTCTCCTCACCTAATCCCTTTGGCTGATTGCTCTTCTCTCTGGCTTCCTGGCTTTTAATCCTCTTTCTCCTGCTCTTCCCGCCTGCTACTTTGGGCATCCCTGAGTTGTCTCTCCTCACCTGTAACCCTGGTTTACAGTTTAGGCCAAGCAAAAAGCACAGAAATATTTGATAGGTATCTGTGAGCCAGGAGCTCTGGTGGTGCTGTGGTTATAGTATTGGCCTGCTAAGCAAAAATTTGGTGGTTTGAACCCACCAGGTGCTTCGAAGGAGAAAGATGAGGCTCTTTGCTTCCATAAAGATTTACATACTTGGAAACCCTCCAAGGTAGTTCTACTCTGTCTTGTAGATAGGGATCGACTCAGTGGCAGTGAGCTTTGGATCTGTGAGCCATTAACCTGCATTGGAAATCTTGAAGCATCCAAAAAGAAAAATAAAGACATTGCTATTTGACTAAGAGTGATTGACATCAATAAGTGTAACGTAGTTATTAAACAGTGACTAAGTCTAAATCTGGTAGCCAGGTGGCCTGCGTTGAGTCCAGGTACTAATTGTATGACCTGGGCAAATAGTCTGGGCTTACATACATTATCTATGAAATGGAGATAGTGGTACCAACTTACTGAAGTTGTTGTGAGGATTAAGTAAGTTAAAAAACACAAAGTTAATGAATATAAAACAGGGCCTTATATCTTAGTGCTCCATACATATATAATTTATATTAGTAGTAATATTGTATCTAAGGCACACATTATCTAATAGCCTTCCTTCATACTGCATAAGAGCTATACTAAGAAGGAAATAAAACCCCAATTAAATGCGTATATTAGTTTTATGCTTATTAAATTTACATTTAATTTTAGAACAGACAATCTGACTTGGTGCTGTTCTTGTTGTTGTTATTAGGTGCCATTGAGTCAATTTTTACTCACAGCAACCCCATGAACAGAGTAGAACTATCCCACAGGGTGTCTAGGTTATATTCTTTACAGAAGCAGATCACCAGCTGTCTCTCCCTTGGAGCTGCTGCGTGGATTTGAACTGCCAACCCGTCAGTTAGCAGCCCAGTGCTTATCTGTTGTGCTACTTGGGCTCCTTAAAAGAAAGTATCACGCATTTTATAAAACCAAAAAAAAAAAAAAAAACTCACTGCCATCGAGTCAAATCTGACTCATAGCAACCCCTCCTTGGGTTT